GGGCGGTGCAGTTTGCAGAGCGCAAACTACCGCCTCAACTGCTGTCCCCTTCTCTAACAGAGAGTCTCTCTTTCTCTCTTTTTGTGTTGTAGATTTCTAAAGGCGAGTGAGGGAGCAGGAGCCTCCAGGAGAAGCCATTCCGTCTGGTCTGCTTGTCTCCACAGGCCACCAGCGCCCCCAGACTGCCCCTGGCCAGCTGGGGCGCCCCAGTCTCCACCTGCAGCCACACCCGACACCTGCAGCGCTCGCCTTTTTCTTTCTTTTTACAGCATGCTCCTCCAGGCTTCGCTGTCCCGTGGCCATTGGCCACCTCCCCCAGGACCGCGAGTCTCCCCACCCCTGGCAGGGTCGGTCCTCATCACTGCCCTCACCTACACAGGCTCCCTTCCCCTGCCCTTCCTGGGCCTCAGTCCACTGGGCTCGCCCTGGCTGGTCCTTCCACATCTCACACTGTGCCTTCCGTGAAAACTTTGCCCCCGGTCTTCTGGGGAGACTAACGGATCCAGACAAGGCGGCCAGGCGGCCTCCAGGTGGACTGAGCCCCCGGCTGCTGCCGCCTGCTGGCATGGCAGGTGTGGAGTGCTCCTCGCCGTGCCGCCGGGCAGTACAGCCCACGACTCCCGAACACTGGCCTCCGTGCCGCCCTGGCCGAGGGCCCCAGTGTGGTGTGCACTGTTACATCCTGTCCTGAGTGCCCCGGGGAGGTCCACGGGGAAGTCAGACTCGCTCGCGGGCCAGCCCTGTGGCCTTGGCGTGTCCACCTTTCATGAGCCCCCCAGCCCACCTGTCCCTGGACTCCCCCCTGTCCACGGCGCCACAGGACACGGCATCCTAGGGGTGCGCTTCACGTCATGCTAGCTCAGTAAAGGGAAGCTCCTCTTTTGTCCCCGACCCCCCAAAACTAGCATCTTAGGATTCCAGTGCTCACATCTCTGAAGCCCACGCCCCTCATGGTCCCCTGGGCAGCCCCTGGTCACTGTGTCTGCATTCGCGGGCTCCTCAGGCCAGGTGGAATTCACTGAGTTTGCTTTCTGAGCGGAGTTCCCTTCCCCTAATGGATCTTTAAGGGAAACTGAGGTCACGCCGCCTGTGGCCGCTCATGCCATCCCGCGCCATCACTGGACATGAGCTCCTGTGGACACGAGGACCGGCAGGAGCCCGAGGGTGAAATCGGGCCTCGCGGTCCCTCCACTAGCTGTTGGTAACTAGGGCATTACCTCCGACCTCCTCAGTTCTCCTTGGCATTTATGGATCTACAATGAGGGAGTCTTATGGGAGCCGGCAAGGATGGGGCGGAAACAGCAGGCCCTAGGGCCCTGGGCTCCTCATGCACCTGGAAACGAGAAAACGACCTCTCTGAGCAAGCCGGGCTCGCCCACACCCATCCTCGGGGCAGCGCGGTCAGCCCTGAGTGTCCGGAAGCCGCAGGCAGATTGCCAGGCGCACATTCAAGGAGGAAGTGGCTTCAGGCTGAGCAGCGAGCGAGCCTGCCCTCGCCCTTCCCCAGGAGGGGACCAGGCGGGGGCTGCGGCTGGCCCGCGGCCACAGGCGACCAGTCATAGCCCACTCAGTCACGTGAGGGGACTTGCTTGGCGGACACCGAGGGGAGCAGGGAGGCAGGGCTAGGCCTCTGTCCTGCCAGCAGCCCTCGCCGGGCCCCTCTGTCACGCGCCCAGGCAGCTCCAGGAACCGCTGAACTTGGCCGAGTGAGCAGACCACTGTCTGCCCCACCAGGGTGCAGAACAGCTTTGAAATTTGATCTGGAGTCTCGGTCACGCATGTGCATTGCATTTGTCATACCACGGGTCAGGACAGTCATTTTCTTGCGGCACACGGACACAGTACAGCTGCGACTGCTCTGTTCCGCCCAGTGTAGGGTTGCTCGTATTCTCTGGTCTCCCCACGCTGCTCCCCTCTGTCCCACCTAGATCCCTCGATCGATCGGAAACGAATAGCTACTGGGTGCTTTCAGAGGTTCAGCGTGGGGGTCTGCCCCCTCGCCGGCGCCCTCCCTCCTTCCTTAAAGGGAAGATGCCCTCATCGGACGCCGGGGCTGGACCATTGGCTGGGGACTCGCGCTGTGAAGCCACCGCTATGGGGGAGCAGTTCACGTAGAGCAGAGCCACAGGCCTTCCCACGAGCTTCTCCCGACCCGCCTGTCACCTCCCCCAGTGCGAGACTATGTTGTCGTCAGAGTGACTCATTTGCAAAGAATCTGCCCTGAAAATGACTGAAAGCCAGTGACAGAGGGACTTCTCGTTCACCCAGTTCCTCCTTTGCACGGGGGAAGGAGGAGGCTTGGAAAGCTGGGGCAGGTGCGCCCTGTGGGTTTTTGTCACGCGCATGTGGAGAGACGCCCGTAGCCTGTCTAACCAGCACCAGGGCTCCGACGCCTTTGGTAACAGCTGTAATTACAGAAGAAGGTTTATACGATATTAAAACGTTATGTTAATGCTGAGTATTTTTCCAGAAAGTTTAGTTTCATGTCTCTTATCAGCTCTGCCTCCTGTGCTTACTTCATCCCGAAAGTTCTTTGAAAACGACCCAGAGTTCTATTTTAACCTGATGTAGAGCACCTTTAAACGGCTGTGTGTGTGTGTGTGCGTGCGTGTGTGTCACGCTGTCTACACTTTGGAGGCAGCTCAGCGTTGGGAAGGCCTGTTTGTCTCTGGAGATGGAATTAAACCAAATAAAGTGCTTCCACTGGAAGGCTCGCACTGACCGTGGAACTGTATGTTAACCCCCGAAACAGTAAATAAAAGTAGAACTGGCCCGGGCTCCCAGAGTTGTTCTGTGGCGCGAGGCGGGGTCCTGGACACAGAAGCAGCCCGGTGTCATCAGAAGTCCCCCAGGCTGGGGTCTGTTCTGTTCCTCGTGACTGTGTACACTGCCACCTGGCCATTTCCTGGGGCAGGGGCCATGTGGAAACCTAGAGCCCAGGAACCACCCCGGTCTGCTAGGGGACAGGCTGCCAGACGCTGACCCGGCAAGTCCAGGTGGGTTCAGAGAAGGATTGGTTTGGGGAGGGTCTGAGGACTAGGGTCCTTTTCTCCCTTTTTTTCTTTTTTAATGCAAATCCAGCCAGTAGCTGCTCCGGCTTCTGGGGTGGGGCAGGGCAGGGTGCCCCTGGCATGGGTTCTGGGTGCTGGTTTCCTCAGTGATCTGGGTCACAGTGCTGAGGCCAGGCCCTGGTGGCCTGGCTGGAATCGCTGGTTTGTGTGAGCTGTCCCAGGACAGCACAGAATGGTGGGCCCAGCTGACTCCTTGTGGGAAGACCGGGGGGGGGGGGGCTGTGCCCAACCTGCTCAGTACCCTAAGCATCTCAGAGTGGTTTGAGGAATTGTCCAAGGGGTGAACTACTAGTGGCCTATGCCAAGGGCAGGCTGAGCCTCACTTGTCTGCTGAAGGTGATGGTAAGGTCAGCGGCCAGAGGTCAGAGGCCAATGGGCCTCTCCCCACACATGCAGGGAGCCACCTTTAAGCCAAAGCCTTGGTGACTCCTGGGCCTTCCCCCTTGCGGGAGAAAGCTCCTGAACAGAGCCGGCATAGAGCCCTTGGTTCTCAGCAAGGGAGTGCGGCCCCTGGAGGGAGGGGACTGCCTTGTCCTCTGCTAATGCCTCCTGTCTCGCCCAGGCTGTCCACACACGATGAATTCTAAAAATGTCCCCATCACGC